ACTTTTTAGGATTCATTGAGTAGAATATTCATGTAAAAAATTAAAATGATTAGACATTAATAACTACATGTTTGAATCATATTTATTTTTAAAAAATGGATAATAAATATAATTTCAAGAATAGCCATTTATTTTTTGTAATATAAATGTGATTTAGACATATAACTATCGATATCCGATCGTCTTGATTTTTTGCATGAATATTCTATTCAACGAGTTATAAAAAGTGAATTGTTCGAATCACCAAAATTGATCCCAATATTGACCTATCAAGCCCAAATGCTCTCTCAAGTTGAGATGGTCAACATGAGAGAAGCCCAACCCATTCATTTTAACTTTCTTATCTCCTTAATTCTGACGCCTCCTTTCTCTCTCTCTCTCTCTCTCTCCACTCAAACGTCTCTAGCTCTTTTCCTTTCTCACCTACCCACCAGCTCATCTTCCTCACCCCCTCCTCTTTCTCTTTTCAGAAACAAATCCATCCATCTCTTACTCCCCCTCATCTTTTTTTTTTTAAACAGATCCATCCATTTCTCTCTCTCTCTCTCTCTCTCTCTCTCTCTCTCTTCTACCCACTCTCTTTCTATCGATGATGTGATAGTGGTGGTGGATGAGCGCAAAAATAACAATGGTGGGGACGATGAGCAATGGTAGGAGTGGTGGTTGCGCCTTCAATGAGCAATGGCAACAACACTAATCAACAGTGGCAATCCCTCTCTCGCTTTTTCCCTAATTTTCTCTCGTCAAGTCTAATTCTAATTGTAAGAAATACATGTATATGTTTATATATGAGTGTTAAGTTTGTTAATTTGAATTTTTAATTCCATTTTTGTAATATATTTTTCTGTTCTCATCGGTTCTTCGAAATCGACCAAACCGATTGCTAAACTATTTTTTTTGATTTAGTCCATTTTGAACCCTAGTTCAGGCGATGATGGTTGACTAATTCCCTAACTCAAAGGTGTCAATTCAGCTTCCTAGCCAATGGGAAACCGAACTGAACTGACTCGTAGACACCCCTAACTACTATAGTAAGTCATTGAGCAATGACGAAGCAATTATCATGACTACTTTTTTTTACCCATCTGAGTGTATAGCACTCGAGTAAATAGAATTATTTTCAGACCCATATTCATCTAAAAAGTATAATTAATTAATTAAACTACTAAAAAAATTTACAAAAAATAAATAAAAAGTTGAACAAAAATTTGTGTGCATTTTTCATTTATTTTTAATGATTTTTTTTTTATACTTTATTTTTATTTTTATTTTACTTTTTAAACGTATGTAATTTTGATGCATCTAACAAGTAAATAAATATATAAAAAAAATATAAATAAAAACAGAGAATAAAATATTACAAAAATGATCTTTTTTTTAAATAAACAAATCATACTCGTATAACAAAAAAATTTATTTTATTAATAAATAAATCATTAAATCAATTAATAATTTTAATGATATAAAAACCTATCTTTCAATTAACAATTTTGATAATTTTATTACTACTTAGGAGAATAATTAGATATTTTATTTTTTTTTTTTTTTTTGTTTATCTTGTTGACTTAAAAATTCTAACAACGGGTAGTTATAATTTTCAGAACAATAAGGGACAATTCATATTTTAAACAAATTTTAAGGGTTTGTTTGTAATTTATCGAAAAACAAAAGATTCATATTTACTAAGACTTTTTGCATAATTACAAAAAATAGAAAATAATAAAAATAAAAATAAACATTCATCCAAATTAGTCTAACTAGCTAAAGTGAAAGGGAAAAATAGGAGAGCAAAATACAAGCATTGAAAGATGAATTTTCCAAAATACCCCTCAAAACAATCTCCCAAAAAAATAATAGACCAATCACGGGCAAAATGAGAATAACAACGGGTAGTTATAATTTTCAGAACAATAAGGGACAATTCATATTTTAAACAAATTTTAAGGGTTTGTTTGTAATTTATCGAAAAACAAAAGATTCATATTTACTAAGACTTTTTGCATAATTACAAAAAATAGAAAATAATAAAAATAAAAATAAACATTCATCCAAATTAGTCTAACTAGCTAAAGTGAAAGGGCAAAATAGGAGAGCAAAATACAAGCATTGAAAGATGAATTTTCCAAAATACCCCTCGAAACAATCTCCCAAAAAAGTAATAGACCAATCACGGGCAAAATGAGAAGCCATACTAAACTTGGATAGTCTCTTATTAGTATAGATATATGGTGAAAAATAACTATGACACATATATGGTAACCATAACATCGGGGGGTGGGGTTTGGGGGAAATGATCAATTTTCTTTACGTTTTCAATACTTTAAAAAATAAATTATGAGAAACATCCATTACCACAATTTATGTTGCATACAAATCAACATGACAAGGATTTTCCTATAATTAGAGCATCTCCAAGCCATTGGAGTTACTATTGTCAAATTATGGCAACAGTTTATAGAAAGCCACCTCCAATGATAAGTTTTAGTAGCTGCTATCTTTAAGAAATGCCAAAACTTGTGTCAAATATGGCATAAGCTTTGTCAGCTGTCAAGTCAGCTTTAACCAACTATTTCCCCTCCCTCCCTCCCTCCTTTTCTCATCATTCTTTCCAAACACCGAAGCAAAATTCACCCAAAAATCACCAAAAACTAAAAATATAAGCAAAATTTCTAGAATAAAAAAATAAAATTGAACAATTTCAAGCAAGCAAACAAAATTTCAAACATAAGAAAACAAGTAAAATTTCAATTTCAGCAATTTCAAGCAAAAAAAATTAAAAAATTAAAAAAAAATTAAATTAAACAACACAGTGAAGTCAAAAAAAATACCTGACAGAAATGGTCTTCAATAGGGTTGATCTTCTTCGTATTCTTTGGATGCTCTTGATTAGGGTTTCGAGTTAGGGCTTCGATCGTTTGATATCGGCAGTTTAGAACGGAGGGAGAGAGAGAGAGAGAGAGAGAGAGATTGAAGAGGAAGAAGGTGAGAGATAGGGAGTATTGGTGGAGAAGAAGGTTGGAGATCAAAGAAGGATCCGAAAGGTTTGAGGGTTAGAGATCGGCGGTGGAAATTGGTGGTGGTTCTGTTGGTTGTGGTGGTAGTGGTTCCTTTCACTGTGGTTGTGGTTATGGTGATGAAGAAGGTAAGAGACAGATGTAGAAGAGCATTAGAGAACAGAGGACATTTGAGGTTTGAGGATTGGAGATCAGCGATGGTTGAGGGTGGAAGATGAGACACAGAGAGAGAGAGTGAGTGAGGAAATCTACAATCGGTGAGACAGAGAGGTGGGTAGAGAGAGACAGAGTAGAGTTGGGAGTAGAGATAGGTAGAGAGAGAGCAAAGATGGGTACTTTCTGGAATTAAGAGAGACAAAGTGAGAGAGATAAAAGAGACGGAGAGATAAAGAAATAAGAGAGATAAGAGAGAAAGATCAATCTGGACCATGGGATTGTTTAATCCCACAGTGCTCTTTTGTCATTGGAATACACAAATTGAGCAACGGCTCTTTTTTCTCCCTCCAATTGAGAAATGTTTGAAACAATTGGTTTTTAACGATTATAATTTAAACGAATAAAAAAAAACCATCATATTTTTACTCCCTATAAAACTAAACAACCAATCTCAATTTGAATATACATTATCTTCAATCTACAATTTTTTTTTTTTTTTACAATTTTTTTTATTTTTTTTTTTTTTTTTTATTTTCACACAATAAGTATAGAAGGTTCATCGAAAACAAAAAGAGAAAAACCATTCACCGTTCAAAAAGATGTTGCAATTTATAGAGCTTGGTGTTACATTACTAAAGACTCAATTGTTGGGAATTTATTTTTCGGAAAGAATTTTTGAAATTATTACTCACTACAGAATGATCACTCAAGAACACAAATGTCTATCTCATCTCGATGGGGTGTAATCATGAAATATTGCAACAAATTCATGAGTATTTGGCACAAGTCAAAAATCTACACTCAAGTAGTATGTCTCAAGTTGATATAGTAAAATTTCATCTTCATTTATTATGTTAGTTTTTTTTATTTTGTCTCATATAAAAATTAACTAATTAATTAATTTAATATTTTATTGATACAGATACTTCAAGCAAAATTTTTATACCATCAATATGAAAACAAATATTTTGCTTTTGAATATTGTTGGCCAATCTTGCAAAACAATATTAGGTTCCGACAAACGCAGTGAAGTCAAAGATACATACACCGTATTTTCCTAATTCAACCCCCTAATATGGATAACTGCATTTCTCTTGAAGACGACAACAATCCAAATGTTGGTAACAATCCAACTATTTGTAATAATCCAATCGGTGAGGGTAGTGTCTCTGCAAGGGGTAAAAGGCTTATGGGTAAGAAATTTGCAAAAGAATTGCTTCGGAAAAGTGAAACTGTTCAAGCTGAAATCCACAAATATAACAATTTGTTGGAGACATTTAACCAACACCTTACTGAGAAGGAAATAAAAAAAGTTGAAAGGGAAGAAAAAAGGATTCAATCATTGCAGAAGATAAAAGAACTAGAGATCAAAAAGAAAGAACAATTGTAGGACTTGAGAGAGCTTGAGATCAAAAATGAAGAACGTTTGATAATGATCACGGACATTTTTCATTTGAACCCTCAGACGAAAGCATATAACATAATGCGCAAAAATAAAATTTTCACCAAGTGGCCGACACATGTCAGCAACCCAAATTACTATTTTCCCCTGCCTCTTGATGAATAATTACGGGAAAATATATTTTTTAATTTTGCAATATCATTTATTTTTCAATATAATTTTGAGTATTTTATATTTAAATTTACAGGTGAATTATATTTAATTTATTATGGAAATTTTTTAATTTTTTATATTTTTCTAGTCGGGTAGAATGTAAGTAAATATATAATTTTTTTTTTTTTACAAACAATTGAAAAAAGGTTACAAAGGACAAAAAATAAAAAAAAATAAATAAATACTAATAAACTTATATCCAAATAACACTTACAAACTTGGAAGGAAAGTTGATTGAAATTTGCCAAAATAACATGTGACCATTAGAGCGCCATTTCTGTGATTTGACAAAATAACATTATTCATTGCCAAATTATAGCAATGATTGCTATTTTAACAAACACCATTAAAGATACTCTAATCCATTGTCCAAATAATAACCATTTGGTAGGTAGGGCATCTTTAGCTTTCCAAGTTGTGTTTTTATCAATCACACAAACGTTCTCTTACCACGAATACATTCTAAAAATGTAGTCATCAACTAAGTCTAATGCTACACTTACCACACTTTTCCTATTCATTAGCACATTTCAATCAACTCAATTTACTGGCATCTACACCGAAATGTGCATAAGTGGCTTCCAAATTGTGAAACAACATCCACTAGACCTCCGTAACCCGCCACTGCTGTAACCTGTACAAAAAAAAGTTCAACATGAGATGCTCAGTTGAGCAATAATATGTGGCTCATAAGCAGTTGACTTTATTTACTTTTTTCATACTATACAATATTGAGTCGAGCAAAAACCAGTAAGTTGGAACAGCAATGACTAGTCTTAACTTTGTGAGTGTAATAGGTTTGGTAATTTTTTGTTGTTGCTATTAGAGAAGTGCTTTCGCAGCATCTTTACTGCCGAAATACCTTTATTATTTCTTCACTGACAAAATTTTTTGATGACGAACCTCTGGACATCGAAGTGCTTTAAAGTTGTCGCAAAACACACCATAAACCACTTCCAAACTAAAGACCCCACAAAGCAGGGCCTTTGTTTCACAAATTCACCTCTCCCCTCCCTATTGTCTGTTTTTTTTGGTTTGTTTAGTTTTAACCCTAGGTCATGCAAGCCCAATTTTCATTTCAACAATATTAATACAAGTGGAAATATTACTAGTGACAATTGACCAGCGACCAGCAAGGGTTATCTGTGAAAAAGCCAACACTACAAAAGAAATAATAACAATCGGGTCAATTGATCAGCATAAAAGCAGAAAGTCCAAGCAGAACATACACCCGCTGGATGAACAGAAATGGAAAATGCTGATTGAGGTGCGCATTGTATCCGTGAAAGAATAGCCCCATTCATATCATATCGAGTGAGTAATGGTTCTGCTCCAACTGCCAATATCTGAGAAGATAAAACATTATTAGGAAAAAAAGAAGGCTGGAAAACTAATCATGCATAAAAGATATAAATAAAATCATACAACTGAATAATTGATAGTTCAATCACATCATATTCAAAAGAAGTTACAGGTTTAAATAAAATTGTAATGCACATCATGTAAGTGGTTTTAGGAACAAGGATCGAAAACACTGGAAAAGCAGAGAAGGATATGGGTTAAAGTATCAATTGGCTTAAAACTGGTAAAGAATAGAAAAAAGGGAAAGGAATAAGCAAGCATAGCATGAAGAACCTGCCATACAATATTTAATAATTATTTAGAAGAGAAATGTCCAAGAACTAAGAGCCAAGACAACTAAGGTTTAATAGATCAACTTTCCTCAGAAGTGCTTATTCTTCTTATATTTAAATAAGGAAAAGGTGGTGGGGGTGGGAAAGATGGGTGGTAGAGATTGAAGATTGTTGGATTGGCTGCCTAGTGTTGTGATGCAAAGTGGAGTGAATTGGTTGGTCTTCATTCCAAGAAGCATGAACTGTAGGCAAAAAACTGGACTAAAGAGGACACACATGCAACCATTTCAATTCAACTTTGACATAGAATGTACACTGCTACAAAATGTTCTTTACTTCTTCTTTCCAATTTTGTTATTTAACTTCTTGATTCATATATGTTATTTAAAGCAAGCTGAAAATCTTCATATGAAACCGTAGAATTAAATTCTAGGACTTGCAAATTCTCAGATGAGTGAAAACATATATCATACAATGAACTTATGCAGTATTTAATAATATTTAGAAGAGAAATGTCCTAGAACTAATATAGCCAAGACAAATGAGGTTCAATAGATCAACCTAAGGGTAAAATTGTAACATCCACCATTCAAAATCAACAATTTATGTAACGGCACAGGTACAGTTATATTACACAAACACAGACATTTAGAACAGAATTCGTGAACTTTTATGTCGGCAGTATTTTAGTGAGACCTTGTCCCCCATATATATTAACCTTTCAAAATTAATTAAACATTAATGGGATTTAGACAAATGACAAGAAAAGGAAGAACTTACTTGATTATCATCAAATGAAATATCTTGGATAGAAGCATGAGTGGATATCCTCGAAATGCACTCACGAGCAGGAAGATTCCAAACAGACAAAGTCCGGCCATTGCCACAAGCCTATAGGTAATCAAGTAGATTACAGTCTAAGCCACATCAAAATAGCAGGAGAATAATTATTTTTTTATTTTTTTTTCTTTGGTACGGTAGGGCTATATTGCCATACCATAAATTTATGTTACAGTTACTCTGGCCCCTGTGTATAACATAAATACACCCACAATATACATAGATCAATTATCAAGCATCACAAAGTTGAGGCTTAAAATATTAATGACAAAACAATAAACTACACAAAGTACAAATATTTACAACTGACGCATTAGTAAATATGCTTGAGCAAATATGCATTGCATGAAATACATCAGAGAGAATCAAGATCTTGACATTTACATTGTAGTTAGCAAAAAAACTACTAATTTTGTAATATTAAACAGAAATAAAAGTAGTCTATATGCTATCCAATGAGAAAATTAGCCATTATAATTGCATTTTCTAGCACATAAATGCTACAATTAAGAGAAATATTTTTGACATGTATAAATTTTTATTTCCAAGACATGAAAATTGGCTGTTATAATTATTAATATTATATGTATTTTCGAGTATGTAAATGCTGTAATTAAGAGGAACATTTTTTACATCATATTGAGTTTCAAGTTTTGAATTTCCAAAACAGGCCCTGAATAACATCAGATGAGGACCCAAAACATTCAAATACTTGGTATTTTACTTCCCTTTAACCAACATAGAGTGCATCAGACGTGTGTTAAAACCAGGCTAAAAAATATCTAAACTTGAACTCAATTAGACACGTGTGTGAGGTATAAACCTATTAGTAAAGGATCTACCTTATACACTAATCCAAAGTAGTGTTCCATCTATTACTTCTAAATTTCAGGTGAGTGAAAGGAAAACCATAACGGGAGCTGGATTAAGATGCACCAATCACAACCTTCACAATAAAAATGGCTGGAAACTCCGTTCAAAAAAGTGAATAAATGCTACATCCTTCCACAAAGTGTCAATCATCTAAAATTAGGATTCATTTCTTTTAGGGTGATATGCACAAGTGTTATAAGACTCATAACCAAAGAACCAAAATAACCCCCTAGTCTGTCAAACAACATCACTTCCACATCCATGAAAAACCTTCTTTAGCGACTTAAACCAAGCTTTCAAATGTCACAAACAGATTTCCATGAACAAGAACAAGTTATTTCACCCCCCTCCCCCGGCCATTAGAATGCCATAAATTCACATATCATCATCACTCTTTTAAGCACAACAAAGGTAATTCAAAAATTAGTAGAAAGAGGTTCACAACATACAAGTAAGAATTAAGGTGTTTATGGATACTTTACCCATTACAAGCCAAATAGATTCATTTTACCCAAAAAAACCTTTAAAATTATGACAAACACAAGATGACAAGCAACTGATCAACCATATATCTTCATTGCATGAACTTACCAACCAGCTCTCACTTGCATCAAGAGCAATGCAACTGACAAATGGAAAGAACTCTTTCAACTTCTTATCCTTCCCTGGGTCAATTACTTGAATACACTTTCCACTTTTGCAATCTACAGAAAACCATATATTACATGCCATAAAGTACAGTCAAGTGTAGTTAAACGATAAAAAAACAACCGCGTAGATTAGTGTGTTGCAGCAAAAATTAGAGCAAACAAGATAGACATCTTCTCAAGTTAGCTTCTGGCCTAGTATCCTTGTAATACATAAAATTTACCCCATATTCGTGCTGTCCCATCTTCTGATCCAGTTATAATCTGAAAACAGAAAAGGTAACCAAAACAAATAGAACAAATCAAATAGGAATACTATTTTAATGCAGCATCCAGGATTTACATGAGGTGACGCAGCCCAGCCTCCAAGCAACAAAACATACAGGCATTGAGACAGACTATATGCTATTTTCCAGGAACATAAATTCATCCACACATTTAGAAGCTTAGAAAAACTAAAACATCCAAAAAAAAAATTGAAGTTCCTTTGAATTGCTTTACTAAAATCAGTCTATGTGTTGGGGAGGATGGGTTTTGGGGATAGATGGAGATGGTGGATTCGGTTTTGCATTTCTACTATTCGGATGTCGGTTATGATGAATGGCATGCCTAAAGGTTTTTTCCCGACATATAGGGGTCTTCGGCAGGGCAATCCTTTGTCTCCGTTATTGTTTATTTTGGTTATGGAGGCTTTGAGCTGTTTATTGGTTAGAGCAGTTCAAGGGGGTTTGTTGATAGGCTTTTGAGGTAGGGAGGGTGCCAGTGGACAGTGTGGTGGTGTCTCATCTATTTTATACCGATGACGTTCTTATTTTTTGTGGGACAGATGCGGCTCAGATTGGGTACTTGAGATGTGTTCTGTTGTGTTTTGAGGCAATTTCAAGGCTTACGGTGAATCTAGCAAAATCTAAGATGATTCCAGTGAGCAAGGTAGGGCTATTATTGATCTTCGCAGCTATTTTGGGATGTAAGGTGGCTACTTTACCAGTTTCTTACTTGGGTTTACCATTGGGAGCTACCTTTAAGGCAACAAGGGTGAGGGATGGGGTGATGGATCGAGTGCAGCAACGTTTGGCGGGTTGGAAGCTTTAGTACTTGTTGAAAGGGGAGTGGGTTACTTTGGTGAAGAGTGTGCTTGTGAGTATTCCGAATTATTTTATGTCTATGCATGCGATCCCTATGGCAGTTGCTAAGAGGATAGAGAAATTGGAGAGGGGCTTCTTATGGGGAGGGGGGGAGGAGGCTTTTCATTATCATCTAGTTGCGTGGGATCGGGTTTGTGTTCCTAAGGAGAATGGTGGATTGGGGGTTCGGAGTTTGGTTACGTTTAATTTGGCCCTCTTGGGAAAATGGTAGTGACAGTTAGTGGGGGAAAGGGAGAGGTTGTGGAGGAGGGTGGTGGTGGCTAAGTACGGTTTGGGGAAGGAGGAATGGTGCACAGATCAGGTGCGGGAGTCGCATGGCCAGAGTTTGTGGAAGGGGATGTGGTTAGGGCACTGGGAGTACTGGAAATGAATTCGCTTCAAGGTTAGGGTGAGGGATCGGGTTCTATTTTGGCGTGATAGATGGTGTGGCGAGGTCACTTTAGATGAGATGTTTCCTTTGATTTTCCGTATTGCTATTGATCCGGAAGCGATGATGGCATCTTATGGGTTTGGTCAAGGGCAGGTGATTGTTTGGAACATCCAGTTGCGGCGTGAGATTCAGGATTGGGAGGGGAGATGGGTAAACTGGTTGATCTTCTAGGATTTTTGTATAGGATGCGACGGGGGACCTGGGGAGGATACTTTGGTGTGGGCTTGTCCGAAGTCCAAGGGGATTTTCTCTGTGGCTTCGTATTATTGTGAGCTTGTGGGAGGGGCAGCGATTTTGTTTGCTTGGAAGAGTGTATGGGTGACAGGGCCTCCGTCCAAGGTTGCTTTCTTTGTTTCGGCAGTGACTTTAAGACGTATTTTGACTATTAATAATTTGATTCGGCATCGTCACATTCTGGTCAATTGGTGTTGTATGTGCTGTAGAGATGTAGAGTCGGTGGATCATTTGCCCATCCATTGCTCCGTTGCATCTCGGCTTAGGTTTCTTATTGTTGGGTTGTTTGGGTTGGGTTGGGTTGGGTTGGGTTTGGGTTCAATTGGGTACGATTCGGAGGTTCTCATGAGTTGGGAGGGGACGAGAGTTAGACGGGACGGCGGAAGAGGTGGATGATTGCATCTCAGTATTTGATGTGGCTGATTTGGTTGGAGCGCAGTAGACGTACTTTCCAGGGGTGCCTTGGTTGGAGAGTAGGCTCCTTCTAGTTCTTCATAGTTGGGTTACAGTTTCGGTGGATCCAGATGTGTTGGCTTTGTTATATTTTGTGGATGAGATGACTGCTTAATTTTTGGTACTTTTGGCCTTTTGAGGGCTCTATTTTTGTATTCTTTCTTTGCATCACCTTGATGCTTTTTAATAATATCTTATTATTTATTTATCAAAAAAAAATAAAAAATATCAGTCTATGGCACCAACTAATCAATTAAAACACCACAACAGCACATTGGATACCTGATCTGTCCAAATGAGTGACAGCTTTCCATCTATCTGCAGATTAGGCAGATTGAAAGTGGCAACTCAACAGTTGACAAACTGCAATATTGATTTTGTGGTACATTCATCTTCTCTACCCATAAGTTATTATCCCAAGTGGCCTACTCAGACATTTTCTTGATAATCTTCTAAAAAAATGTTTATCATGCTGCAGAGGATAGTCACACTCTCCTCACCACAAAGCGACCAGGAAACAAAAGACTTGTGGGCTTTTCTTTTCTATTTTTTGTTGAAAAATTAATAATAATAATTGCATTATCTTATTTACCATTTATATGATATACATGTACGTATGTTATACATATACATTGATAGATGCATATGAATACCAATTCTGGTCATAATGCAAAGAAATATGATTTTCTAAAGTCCGCTGTTCTCACTCTGGTAACCTAGAATAGCGCCTTCATGTGATATAATACAACAAAAACATAGTAAGAGAGACGAAAAAAAAAGGAAGAAAGAAAGAATATAAGACAAAAAAAAAAAAAAAAACAAACAAACAAAAAAACAAAAACAAACAAACAAACAAAAACAAAAAAACACATCAGTTGACATGGTTCACAATAAGGAACGTAGAGGAAGAAGATCAGGGCTAAGACAAAAGGAGAAAACTGGACCTGATTGCCAGAATTACGGGCAACAATACAATGCAAGTAGTCTGAGTGCCCCTTGAAAACCATTTTGATTTCACTTTTCTCCTGAAAATTTTCAGTATACACATTGAATCAAAGCATTTGTCATAAAAATAAATAAATAAATAAATAAAAAGGAAATAAAAAATAACAAAAAGGAAAGGGCAGCAAGGGAAAGTACCAAGAACATATATAAAGCATTCTAAAGTAAAACAAAACCATAGAAGTTCTTGTAAGCAAATATGAGTAGGCAATATTTTCACCTTGAGTAAATACATACCACATCCCAGCAATACGCACAAGAATCACCAGCAGCCGCAAAAATGGATCCACCCTATTGTAGGAGAAAGAAAAAGAGAGGAAAAAGCTCACTATCAGTTGACTCACATACGTAATTCAAGAGTTCGATCAATCACATGGTTGATGCCAGGAAATCAAACAATCATGACAAGACTATCACATGCAAACTTTGAAAAAAGGAAGATTATACATGCAAAAGAAAAGCCAGGAGCAAGACTAATTTTTCATATGTTTTAATGTAAACATAAATTACTATGAGCCACAGAAACCACGAAAACACAACCCATTACTTATCACAAAATAAATAAATAAATTATGTGGCACCAACGCAAATAAGTAGCATTAGAATATATATATATATATATATCTTGGAAACCTGATTATCAACAGCAATGGAATTGTTCTCTGGGATCGGAGAAAGAGCACTCCACGGCCCTCTGTAAGAAAACAGAAAGATATGAAATGAATTTTAAGGTAATAAATGGAGTGAACTTAATATTAAGCAAATGAACACACACAAATTGGCAACAGCAACTGAAAAACACACTGTCACTCTTTAGCAGATAAAGCATATAAAAAGAGAGGTAAGAATAGCAGAAAAAGCAAACACTTCCAAGCATGACTTAGAATTATCCAACCATCAAGTATATAAATTTTCAATTTTATTGCAAAGATACTTGTATTGTTAATAGATCATTAACAATCGGTACACAAAGCGTTGTTTAGTTCTGATGTGGAAACAAATACATACTCCTGATGGAGATGTGAGCTTGCAGTCACATTACAACAGAACCCCAAGGAATGCATTGCATTACCCACCCTTCCAGCATCTAGACACAAAATCACGGCTATAAATGGTTGTATATGATAAGGCACCTTCAGATATGCAATGCAATTTAACTTTGTCAGAGTTTGTGCATGTATGAACAAGAACTATGAGCTGCCCATTGGTAATTTTAGATATATGATTACATAACAATAATAAATTGGAGGAACTAAAGAGAAAGAGGACAATAAACACATCTTTTGCTCATTTTGGGAAGTATGTTCCTTAAGTAAGAATGCAACTAGTCACTGGTTAGAAAAAAAAGTTACCACCAACAATAAGGTGTCCTAAGTTATATAGCTTCACCATTACGTTACAACAAAATAGTATTTCAGTTTGGCAGAATTGAGTTTCTTCCACATAGTTGTGCAATTTTTTGCCATGGCCGTAAAAGTTAACAGGACTGCCTGTGATGGGTTTACACTAGAACTAACATGCAACAAGTGAGGCAAGCACAAATGACAACCCCCCTACGAAGTGTGGGCATGGATATGAATACGAGCTGATACGGATACTGCAATACGACAAAACCTAAAAAAAGAAGATACTAGTACGGCCATAATTTGTTAGTAAATTGTTTATTTATATAATTTTAGTATTGTATTATACAAAAGCTAAAAAGAGTGGTGAGAAACCAATCCTTTAAGAAGTAGGTATAAGTTTAAGAGCTAAAGGCCAACACTTTACTTTTTTTTCTAAATAGGTCCTATGAATTTTTCATTTTAATATCAAGTCTAAACTGTTTTTGTTGCCATAATAATATTTTTGTTTCATATTTAAATGTGTTATATGCAGAAGTGTTATAGACAAGTTTACTTGCTTGTTTAATTGTTTGAAATCCAATTTTAGCATCCATCATCCAATCTAAATAAGACCTAAGAACATCATTCATTAGCCATATAAGGATTGTAGGAGTGCCACCATCGGCAACGACCCATCCCCTTATCCCTCTGCATATCCTCATAATTTACGTGATGTAACAATTTCTTGTTCATTCTTACTAATTAAAGAAGCACTATTTTGAAAGGTGCGCACACAAAGCACACCTAAGGCATGCGCCTCAAGCTCAGGCGCAAGGCACACACCTTATGTGTTTCATTTAAATTTTTGCCTCCAGTCTTATTTTTTGTTGGGAATTTAGTCAAAACCCCCTCATAATAAATTTTAATGCATCAAGGACAAACACAAAAAGTTTTCCTTGAAAAGGCCAACAAATATCACTATTATCAAAATATTAAACTTTAAAATAATATAACTTTTGATGTAGATGTCGGTTTTTAATAAAATTAATATTTTAAAAATTCTCTCATCAAGATCTATTAAATAAGATCCATGTTGAATATGAAATTTTTTTAAAAATATATATATATTACCGTTGAAATTGATGTAAACAGTAACAGCTATGAAGCACCTATATCTGAGAGGAGGCGAGAGAGCAGAGGCGAAGAGGAGCAGAGGCGATCGAGAGACGAAGAGAGAGAACAAGAGAACAGAGGCGATCGAGAGACGGAGAGAGAGAGAAAGGAGAGAGACGAAGACGATCGATCAACAGTGAGCAGAAGATCGGTCAAAGAGAGAGACGATTGATCGATCGATCGAAGAGAAAACCCTAGAATCCTTCATTGCCCTAGCACACAAAGGCGACGCCTCTCTACACTATCAGGTTCGATCTCTTCCATCTCCTGTCTCTCTCTCGATTCCCTCTATAGATGTGTTTATGGTATGTTTAAAGCAGGAGGTTATCTCTCTCTCTCTCTCTATGTATGTATACATGTAGTTTTTGAGTATTTTTTGCCCCGGAACGTACCCATGGCGTACCCCCTCCGCACCCATGCCGTACCCAAATGTACCAGACGTACCAGACCCCTTTTGGCCGTACCCGGTACGCGTGCAACCGTACCGGTACGCGTACCCGTACCAGGTACGTACCCGGTACTTGTACGGCAACATTTTAGGAGTACCGGTGCTTCATAGAGTAACAGTAGCAGTAACATGTTACTCTGTTTAACGGTAACATGTTACTCTGGCAATATTGTCCAACAAAGAAAATATATATATATATTTGACTTTGTCCTTACTCAATTATCTGTTTTCTCCTCAGGGGTTTTATGAAGAAAAATAAATTAGACTATCTTTTTCACTAAACAAAGGTCCAATGAAGGGGCTTTGACCAAATTTTCCCTTTTTGTTTTGTAGCTATAGGGAATGACAACCTCTTCAATATAAAATGCAAAACACATGCTTTGAACTCTAATTTCATATCAAAAAAAGCCTTAGGCATTGAGCAAAAATTCTGGGATTGCAAGATATATGACATTGAGATTCCTTTCAATGTAGTGATTTATGATAGTTTTTAGGGCAATGATTGAAGCTATCGGGCAATTTGATCCCAGTTTAAAACCACCGAGTTACCATTTGGTGTGAGTTCTTTATCTTTAAAAAAATAAAAAATAAAAGAAGGTGAATAATGTCAACTGTGGAGCACGGATACTTCAAATAGAGTGACGTATCCGTATCGGATACCAATACTTGTTGGCTACTCGCGGACACGTATCGGATATTTCTTAATTAATTTTTCATTAATTTTGGAATATCACATACTTAATTTTGAAGTATCGGATGCTCTTAAGTCATGTATTACTTGTTTTACGAAATTAGAATTGTGGTATTTCTTACATAATATTATAATATAATATAGTTGCAAGAATAAATATAAGAATATTTTTTTAATATTTTGTCTAGTTTTTTGATGAGAAGAACATAGTGAGTTAAATAATAGAATTTGTCAAATTAATGTATCCTAATTGTTTCATTTATAACTACATAGAAAGTAAAGATTAACAAAAGAATATAACAATAGTAAAATTAAATAGCAATAAATAAATGAACAAGTAAACTTGAATATAATATTTTTTACTAGTGTCAAGGGAAAAGACAAAGACAAGTTGTTGATTATTTTATGATTGTAATATAAACATAAATAAAATATTTGCTAGATCTATTGAAAATTTAAAAGGTAAACAAGCAACTAGCTTAATTTAACACATAATTCTTTAAGGTTAGTATGTTGCATTATAAATTATATTATGATTTCTCAGCATTATTTAGCTTATGTGTAACTCATTACTAATAATTTTAAAAAATACATTTTTCACAAACATATCCTAACCGTACCCATATCCTATTTTTTTAAGTTTTATTGTATCGCCATATCCATATCATATTGTATTCGTATCTATGCTTCCTAAAATGTCAATAAATTGATGAAGTTAAATAGCAATAAATAAATGAACAAGTAAACTTGAATATAATATTTTTTACTAGTGTCAAGGGAAAAGACAAAGACAAGTTGTTGATTATTTTATGATTGTAATATAAACATAAATAAAATATTTGCTAGATCTATTGAAAATTTAAAAGGTAAACAAGCAACTAGCTTAATTTAACACATAATTCTTTAAGGTTAGTATGTTGCATTATAAATTATATTATGATTTCTCAGCATTATTTAACTTATGTGTAACTCATTACTAATAATTTTAAAAAATACATTTTTCACAAACATATCCTAGCCGTACCCATATCCTATTTTTTTAAGTTTTATTATATCGCCGTATCCATATCATATTGTATTCGTATCTATGCTTCCTAAAATGTCAATAAATTGATGAAGTAACACTGAGTACTGGGCAAAGTATGCATGTTCTATAATGTGGGTGAACGGATAGAAGAAATATTCGGTGTGTTTGGTTTGAGTTTTCTGGATTAAGTTTTTTGAAAATTGAGTTTTTTGATTTTCGTGTTTTTTTGTTTTTAGTGAATATTTTTAAATTTTAAACATTTTTTTTACTTTTTTAGATGCACCTTACTTAGATGTATCTAAAAAGTGTAAAAATTGTGAAAAAATATTTTAAAAAATTAAGAAATACATAAAAATACAAAAAATGTACTGAATTCTTGTATTTTTTTGTATTTTTGGTATTTAGTGAATTTTTAAAAGATTTTTTTTACAATTTTTTTACTTTTTAGGTGTATTTATGTTAGGTGTGTCTAAAAAGTAAAAAATTTGCATAGAATATTAAAAAAATTCAGTAAAAACAAAAAAACACGGAAAATAAGAAAGTAGAATTTTCTAAAAACTGTTTTTAGAAAATGGGAACCAAGCAAGCTGATTGGTTTTTATTGGATGTAAATATAATGGTTTATGACTTTTGTTGGATATTATGTTTGTGATTTTTAGAAGGTTTAAAATTATTTTTAAGGACTTTCTGGAATGTTGAATGCTATTTTTATTGTTTTTGAAAAGTTGAATGTTGTTTTATGATTTTTGCAATTCTAGTAATATTTGTTTATATTGAAAACATTGCCTATATTAAAATTTTGCTTATCTTCTACAACTTGTGCCTCGCTTTGGTGAGGCACGCGCCTTGCTCTCCAGGAGATCTTAGCGCCTCGATGCGCCTAGAGCTTTTTAAACACTATTAAAAAAGTATGAATTGGATATGCAATACATGTATTATGACACATTTATAAAGGAAAATTCAATTTGAACACCATCATATATCTCAGTACACATCATCTTCCAAGTTCACACCTAACTTGAATTTTTGGTTTTTACTCAATTCAAACCATTAAATAATACCAAAATACTATCTTCTTCCCCAATTTCAAACCCTAACCCTACCCCCACTACCCGTTCCACCACTAGAGCCCCCTTTCCTCTTCCTTCCTTCCTTCTTCTTCTACTACAAACCTTAGATCTAGAAACCAAATCTCTCTCTCTTTCTCTCCCTCCACAGGGTGGGGGTTGCGGGGGTAGTGCATTGTGGGAGTGGGGGGTTGAAATGATGGTGGTCATGTTGGTAGGGGTTGGGATAGAGGTGATTGCAAGGGCGAGGCGTGGTGGGGTAGTGGGGTTAGGAGGGCTATGATGGGGGTTGGGGGGCTGCAATGGTAGCTGAGGAGGGTTGTGGTAGTGGTAGCTAGGAACAGTAAGTAGAGGTGGGGGCTGGGAGGTGGAGGCCGGTGGTGATGGTGGGGTGGCTGGGCGAATCTTGAGAAATTAGGGTTTATAATTTCGTCCAAAAAAGTAATGTACTTGAGGAACAAAAATGTAATTAAAAATAATAGAGAGATAGTGTATACTAAGATGACCAGTGGTGTGCAAACATAATTTCCCTTTACAAGGATATATCAATTCAATAAATTCTGAAAAAGTAGAATACAAATTTAATCTCACCATTTTCTTCTTCTCTAAGGGGTAAACAAAGTATTGAAAAGTTATTCACATATTTATCCTAACAAATATACTCTAATGCTATGCAAGAATTATTATCATCTCAATTTCATAATAGTTCAGATACGTGACCTAAAGTATCTGATACTCTACGAAGCACGGACATAGATACGGATACGGATACGGATACGGATGCGGACACAAGGCACGGAGATTTTAAAAAAATGGAGGCACGGCCACAACGGAGACATGGCAATAAAATATGTTTTTATATATTTTTATTTGCTATCTAGATTAATATTACATTCACAAACAATTAATATTAACAAAAACTAACTCTAATTCTTTTTCCTTTTTTCTTTTTCTTTTTATTTATTAAAAAAAAAACACTTTTAAATTAACACTTACAGTTTATATCTTCTTTTTTTTTTTTATGGATGATCTATTAAGTATTAAATATAAGAAAAAATAATAAACATTCGACATTCAGCATTTATCAAAAGCACTAAATAAAATACGAGAAACAAGACAACTTGGCATGTCCCTAATGTGTCCCCGAAGTGTCTGCTAAAAATAAATTAATTAAAAAAGAGGGCACACCATGTGGTGTGTCCCATACGTGCCCCCGAAGTGTCTGCGTGTCCCCGAAGTGTCCATGTGTCCGACATGGATACAGCACTAGTTTTTAAGTGTCAATGCTTCATAGCCATTAAAGAAAGTTATCAAGTATTGAATAAGTTTAAGAAGTATCAAATACATATCCACAGTCATGCATATTTCAAGTTCAAGATAACTAACTTATGTTGAGGATTCACCAAGTCAAGTACTGGCTTCAATTGAGATTGAGCTGAGAGGCAGAAAATTTGCTTTTAACTGAATTTAATAGTTACTTATGTTGGTAAACTTTTTTCTTTTTTCCAATAAAGTTAGTCATATGAGCAAACTTGCCTCTAAGAAGCACGGACACGGATATGGATATAGATACGGGACACGGCGATTTTAAAAAAATAGAGACACAAACACAACGGGGACGATGAAATAAAATATGTTTTCGTATATTTTTATTTACTATCTACATTAATATTACATCCATAAACAATCAATATTAACAAAAAATAACTCAAATTCTTTTTTTTTTTTAAAAACACTTCTAAATTAACGCTTACAATTTATATCTTTTTTTTTTTTTTTTATGGATGATCTATTAAGTATTAAATATAAGAAAAAATAATAAACATTCGACATTCAGCATTTATCAAAAGCACTAAATAAAATACGAGAAACAAGACAACTTGGCATGTCCCTAATGTGTCCCCGAAGTGTCTGCTAAAAATAAATTAATTAAAAAAGAGGGCACACCATGTGGTGTGTCCCATACGTGCCCCCGAAGTGTCTGCATGTCCCCGAAGTGTCCATGTGTCCGACATGGATACGGCACTAGTTTTGAAGTGTCAATGTTTCATAGCCATTAAAGAAAATTATCAGGTATTGAATAAGTTTAAGAAGTATCAAATACGTATCCCCAGTCATGCATATTTCAAGTTCAAGATAACTAACTTATGTTGAGGATTCACCAAGTCAAGTACTGGCTTCAAATGGCCTCCTGAAAACATAAAAATAAATCACAAATGAAACATATAAAAAAAAAACCCATATTCAACATTGATCAAAAAAAGTACCATATCACTTCGAAATTAAATCAAAACACAATTTAAACTAGCAACATATCATTTCCAATTGAGCAAACAATTCTAATCATAATGATTGGAACAGTCAAAATGGATAATGTATCTAAGTTCGATGTCAACCAAAATGGACACAGATATACCAATCTGACCTAAATGATCAGCCATGCAAGATGGTGGGAGGAGTAATAAGTATCAGGCAAGAAACGCAAATATTTCTAAGTTTTTCTACTCTCTTCAATTCCTCAAAAAAAGCATATGTCAAGATGAAGAAACCTTCAGATGGAAACACACTGTTACTTTGCAAACAATATGGTACAAGTAAAACAAAGATGTTTTGGGGAAGATGTTAAAGCCTCATGCCCATCAAATCTCTATATTTGTAAAGACAGTCCCTGATAATGACAGAATAAAATCCCTATGTTGTGATATCTGCCCAGATCAATAATCAATCATTAGTCTTCCTCAAGCTCTAAGGTAACCAATAAGAGGAGGTTTGTATGCAACTAACATCAAATTCAAAATCATGTAGAATGAAATACGAAGGTTTTTCTTTTTTCTTTCTCCCAAAACCACATAATTAGGATCTGTTTGATAACCATTACGTTTACAGTGTTCTATTTATATTTATAAAAATTTAAAAACCTACCATATAAACAGATCCTTCGTAATTGTTTGGTAAATTTTTGTGTTTATAAATTGAAGGTCTCAGTTATTAAATTTGGCCTAAAAAATGCAAACTCACAAATCTTTTTACGTTAGTTTATAAACGTAAAACAAAAGTGAAGAAACACGGAGGAACAGTAATTCCCATATGCACGTGTTTTGACCTAGGTTCAAATATGTTTAGAAGACATTTGCAATTAATTATATACATTACCCTTAACTTCAACGGTAATATTCATAGAATATCTCTCTTTTCATCTCTATGGCTTTGTTTGTTTTTATTTCATGGGTGATAGGATTGGATTGGTAATTCAGTAAGTCCCAAAAAAAGCATGTTTGGCTGGAGAAAAAATATGACTAATACTTTGTTTGGATTGAGTGATTTGGTGAGAAATGAAGAGAAAAATATAATTTTTTATTTTTTATGTTTGGTTTATAAGTCAAGTAAAAAATGATATGAAATGATGAAAAATAGAAGTCTCTTATTTTAAAGGTTTCATTTTCACCAAAAATAGTGAGATTTAGTGAGAAACAACCTAATTGGTTGTATAGTTTTTTCATATTTATTTTTTTATTTTTTATTTTTAGATTGGCGAATGTCAGTGGTTAGTTGTTAGTGTAGTACCTCAGGAGAGTTGAGACTGACACCCATCCACCATGCAAGAAAATCTTGCCCTCCCATTCCACTCCTAAGAGTGGAACCCAACACCTCCCCCCCTTAGGAAAGACTTGGGGTATGTTTGGTTTGTGTTTGAGAGATGTGTTTTAGAGATAAAAAGTACGAAAAGTTGTTTGGTTTGGTTTTTTTCAAAAGATGTTTTGGAAAATTATTTTGAGAGAGAGTTTTGAAAAAAGTAATTGATTTGATGTGTGCGAGAGAGAGATTTGTTTGGAAAACTTGTTTGGTTTACAAGTTTTGAGAAATTTTTTTGGAAAAATTTGTTTGGTTTGATTACTTTTAAAAACTTATTTGTAAAGAAAATTTCCCAAAAATTTTTCAGAAATGCAAACCAAACGAACCCTTGGTAGCCAAAGGGCTAGAGCCCCTTGGTTAATTGGTTGTATAGTTTTCATAATACTGAGATTATCTATTAAAATACAACGGAAGAAAAATAAATCCCATCTATATTCTTATATATCACATACTTTGCTTCATTACTCATCTAATTATAGTAGTTAGAAAATACAATCATTTTCTTTCTTTTCTTTTCTTATCTAGATGAGAGACCATAATCATTTCTTTTCTATTCTTACATAAATAATAAAAATTAAATATGTACATTTTAGGCCTTAACAAACATGCTTTTTGGTTTCTGTTTTTAAAAATTTTCAAACATTTTGTTCAAACCAAACGAGTTTATGGTTTTTGTTTTTATGAAAATAAACAAAAATCAGTTTATAATTATTTTTTAAACATAAACAAAAAATGTAAACATTACCAAATGCCACCTTGAAGTTTAAACCTATTTCTAAAACCTTTTCCTTTCTTGAATTTAAACCTGAAATTGAGTTCAGAAACTTGAGTAAATGTTTACATCACAAGAAACAATGTGATTCGCTTTCCACGTGATTTGGTTCATAAGCTCAATGAGGCAACCAATATGACAGCTGGATGAATGTAATAGCTAAAAAGGTACAAATCCTGATGAACAACAAGACATAATAATATCAAATCATATTTGTGGGCTATAATACAACTTTTGGGAGTCACAAAATAGTGTTCATACAGATACAGTGCATATGCCAAAATGAAGTATAAATTGGATGTCTGACAGGGCACCTTTTTCTGATCTATTGTGTTTTTCGGAGTTTATATATAAGGTATAAATTCGAGAAACTAAAAAAATGGAAACCAAAAAAAATCTCAAATAATTTCCACGTGACGTGGTTTGAAAGACCTTTTACACTTTAATTACCTTGCCAAGGAATATGCTCCTCTGGTTTTGAGATTTCCTTCCACCTCCACCCTCGAATCCGGCCATCATCACCACAGCTACATGGTATATCAAAGGTAAGAAAGATTTTACATTTTAATATATTCATCTTGTCTAGATAAATTTACAGATAACAATCAGTTATATAACAGTAAACACGCGTAAATTGTTCTCTCTTATGTCTCAATTATCATTTGAACCTGACAAGATAAACTCAAAACGAGAGAAGATGGAGGGCATAACTTTTTGGCAAAAACAAAAAGGCTATTTCTAAAGAGCTACGAAGCTACTTCTGAAGAGCATGTGCAGTCAATTAGCAAGGCTATAGACAAGCCTAGTCGTATGATCAAACTTGAATATTAAGCATAGCTTGCAATTATTAACCAAAACTAAGCTTTGGTCAACCATTCTCATGAAAAATTAAAGTTCATCCCATTGAAACAATATGACCCCCATAAAATCCATATCAAGAAGAGTTAAAAATGCCAGCAAAATATAATAGTGAGAAAAACAATAGTAAACTTTGGGAGTTTTGGCCACTAACTATTGTTTAGGAATTTAATTTTCATTAAAAAACATACAAATACAATGTCGGCCACTCTTAAGTTAGAACCTACCCGGATAATAAGAGAGTGTTAACGAACGTCTCTGCTGCATGAGTGTTCATGTGGATATTTTGAAACGTAAATCGTCTTGAAGGTTTCTACTAACATTTTTATACTCGATGATGAAGTATGGGCTCTTCTAAAATTAAATGAATGTGATCAACTTGTTTCAAAAGGAAATCAAAAAATGATTCACTTAGAAAGTCTCCAACCCTTACTAGGCAAGTAGTACAGCACAAATACAGACTATAACTCCAGCCTACTGCTCCACACAGAGTAAGGATTCAGCAATTTCTCTTGCCGGAGATCTATTCCTCCTCCTCTGCATTAGCAGTATCTGGGGTTCCCTCCGCTTGTCTTGAAATCAAACTTAAATTTGAGTAAGAAGCCAATAAAATCCCCGTCAATCTTTTACCAAATTGAGTTTTACTCAAATCAAGGGAATCCCATTTCCTTCCCTCAAATTTCTATCCAATCACAACTTGACACATTAACCAAATTTCCCACTATTCTCTCCTTTTCTCCACATCCTAGCATCTACACAAAACTTGACACTTTGGCAATTTTCTCAAACTTCTACGCAATTTGGGTAAAAGTATGAGTAAGGGTTGGAGATGGCCTTATACATATACACAATACAAACATATGCATACATAGACACCCATGTAAAAGAGAATCAATATATATATATAGAATATGTGTTTGAGCTAGAAACAGAGGCGTTGTGGTAAATTCAGACCTCAACAACAAAGAATCTTCGCCGTTGCCATAAAATTTGACATCATAAGCAGGTCCATCATGCCCTTGAAGAAAGCACTGAGGTTCAGCCTGCAACAAACTACACACAAGAAATTCCACCAAACACAGTGAATCACAACCAATCCTAATCAAACCCAATAATAAGTAAACAAAAATCAAACATATAATTATCAAATGCACTTACTTCTGAACCCTACCATTACCAAAACCTAAACCCAATGGCTGCAACTCAAAAAAAACAAAAACATCAAAATCAACATAAACATTTATATATACATATATATATATATAGAGAGAGAGAGAGAGAGGGAGAAAGAGGTTACGGGAGAGGAGAGGAGAGAGGAGATGGAGTAAGAGGCGAGGGAGCCGTCGCTGGAGGCGGCGACGATGAGGTCGGGGGGGTTAGGGGAGAGAGAGGGTGGGAAGGAGGTTCGGAAGACGGTTCGGCATTGGGTTTGGCGGTCCTGCAATATGGTGTTTCTGTAAGCGTCTTCGTCCCAGTTCCGGCAGTCTATCCCCAATTCCATTTTCACTTTCATTTTCATTTCAGGAAAACATTCAAGCTACATGGCCTGTGTTTGTCTGTGCAACTAAACGACGTCGTTTATAAAGTCAGACATTCCACACATCTTGCTGGACTTGCAACGACACCCTTCATTTTACAAAGGGTAAATTACATTGACACCCCCTAGGTTTATATTTATTACAATTCTTCTCTCATCTTTGGGAAATTACATCCCTCTTCGTGAGGCTTAAAGTTTTATTACAAATTGCTCCCTGAGGTTTAAAGTTTCATAACAATTCGTCCTCACCGTAATGATTATCATACATAAAATTAAATTAACAATGAAGGTCAGTGTAATTTTTCAAATGTGAGGGAAAAACTGTAATAAATATAAATCTCAAGGGGTGTCGGTGTAATTTATCCTTTTACAAAAGTAAAAATAAAAAAATAAGAAAAAAAAAACAAATACGGCAATTACAGAAAAAAATCATAACATTTGACCATTGTTAACAAATAAATTTTTAATTTTTAATTTCACCAATGAGAAATTTAGTCAAAATCCCCTATGCCCAGCATGTTATTGTATAAAGAAGACTTCAAAATATTTTTACTTCTTAAGCAAAAGGTGTGTTCTTCATAAAAGACAAACAAATAGATTTTTATATTTCTTTGGACAATTTTACCTATCATATATCTATATAGTAAGATAAAAAGTTTTTTGAAAATATCCTACACACATTTGTCCTATTAGGACATTTGGACGGTTCAGATCTGAAAAATCTAGAAATTCCCTAGATATTGATTTGTGATTATGTAACAATTTTAAGGAATATATAACAATCCCAATCAAAACAAATCAACACAACGATTTTAACATGGAAAAATCACAATTGGACACCTCCAACTGTGATTAAAAAATCACGGGCAACAGCCACAAAATAATCCACTAAGAAGATTTAAAGGAATTACACAGGTATACTCTCAATTACCTAGCGAATCCACGCCTAATTGAACCAACCTCTATGTGCCTCTTCCAACCCCGTCTTCACCTCGGAATTGTCTTTACAATGAGCCACTCCAGAATCCACCAAAGCTTCAGGTTCGAATTCTTCAGAATCCACCGAAGAACAACTTTCTCTCTCTCTCTCTTGTGTATAACAAACAAAACCTTTGATGTACTCTCTTTAAACCATGAGTTGAATACTCAATAAAACATCAAAGAAAACTAACAAAATATCCCCAGATATAAACCTTAAGAACCAAAAAGAAGATCGGGGGGAATTAAATAGTTTTGGAAGAAAACCAACTATTTATAGAAAATCCAAAAGTAATCCTAGTTTTGGAAGAAAATCAACTTCTTAAAGAAATCGTTGTCAAACGGGATTGCCAATAATAAAACTTAACAATCTCCCCATTTGGCAATACCGTGACAAAACACACCTAACAAATAAAATCCTAATCACCCCAACCCATTACAACCAACAAACACAAACTTCTTTCTCAAGATTAAGATCTGCAAAACAGCTATTACTGCCACAATCTCCAAAACAACTATTAGTCTCACAAGAGTATATGAAAAAGCAATAAACATATGGCTAGATTATCTTGAAGCATTTGAAGCATGAGATAGAAAACATGAATAGATGCGACTTAGAGATTTTAAGAACATGTAATATGAAAACCTGAAAACTTTAAGAACATGTAGCATGAAAACTTGAAAACTAAGACACATACTCCCCTTTTTTTGTCACGAATTGACAAAGGAAGCGCAATCAACTAAAGCCATATCATAAACCACACAAGCTATGATATGATGATGTAAATATCATGAGCATGCAAGAAGGAAATATTAAGCAAACAGTGCATAGCAACATGCAAAACAACTAAAGCCAATCTCCTTTACCAAACAAAACAAAGTGTTCATGCTAACAAACTCTTGTAATGATAAACCAAACTCCCCCTTACTAAAAACAATGAACAAGAAGAAAACGACAAAAAATAATATGGTGAAGCAAGCAAGAAATCTCATATTTGTACCTTAAAACACACAAGATTATCCAAGAAGCACAATTACTAGTAAACACGATGTGCACAGTCTGTAGAATATTCCTCATGAAAGAAAGTGATGCATTATGTGAAAAGCATAGATCCTATGAGAAAAGTGTGTGTGTGACTCTTGAAGTTCGACAAACATTAGATTCAATCCTAGTAGTGATATGAAAGCTGGACCTCTGGCAAGAGAATTTAAGCACAACAAAGGAAAGTCAAACCACTAGGAATCAATGGGTATTTGATGAGTAAAGGCGGAGGCTCCCCCTCAATCAATGAATCTTTTCTCTTTTCACACATTTTTTTCTTTTCTTTCTTTTGCACATTTTTTTCTTTTCTTTCTTGTGCGCATTTTTTTCTTTTCTTTCTTGTGCATATTTTTTTTCCTTTCTTTTGCATATTTTTTCTTCTACTATTTCTTTTTCTTTTTCTTTTTCTTTTGCACACTCATTGGCAGCTGACACGCTCAAGAGTATGGAAACTGAACCAGAGAAGCATGGATATAATAAGGATGGCCTGGTTGGTGACTCTGAGGTAGCCTTTTCCTCATGGCTAGACTGTAAAGAATTGAGAGAAAAGTCGTGGAGGTGCAAAAAGATGGAAGGTGGTTAAGAGCCTCAACATCACCCATGATATGCTAGTATAGGTCAATTCCTCTAGAAACGCAAAAGATCAATGACAGAAGTCCATAGAGAAAAAATAATCACTAAGGCGGAAAACTCCAAAATTTGCTAATCCAAGAATGTGTACAGAATGAGACATACTAATCAAAAAACACACAATCCAAAACGAGTAATGACCACAGAAAGCACACATATATTAACATGTAATGGATATTCTCATCAAATCCAATATGCACCAAGGACCACTCAAAAATTTCAAGCTTGCAAAACCATATTAAGAAAATCTTTTTGGGTTTTTTATTTTTTTTTCAAAAATAAAGCAAGACAAAAAAACGAACAAGCACACATTTTATTTTTATTTTTTTTTCATTAAAAACAACACACAAAAACCCAAAAGCTAAAACAAATAAACAAATTAACACAAGTCAAGTTTTCTCACCCAAACTGCTTTAGTACGAACAAAGTTGTGAGAATTGCAGTTCTTGGGTGGTGTCTTGACGTTGTGGTTCGTTTCCCCTGCAATGGAAACCCGTCTCGACTTGGCTTCCAACTTCCAATTTTTAGGTCTAGGCAAATACACTCTCCCATGCAACTTATAACAATAAGGGCGAATATGACCATGCATACCACAATGATGACAAACAAAAACAGGGTGTACCTTCTTTTCTTTTACTTTACCAACTCTAGGAAGCTTGAGAAGTCCATCCTTATGTTGAATTTTTTGTTCTTCCTTTCCTTGAGTTCTTGTATCATGAGATGTTGATGCACTCTGTTTTTGCTCTTTCTTACCACCAAAGCCAATGACACTCTTGTCAGAACAGATTTATTGAGACCCAATGATATTGTCCAAAGTCTTTGATCCTTTGTTCCAAAGACCAATGATAACCATGGCACACTTGAGTTCTTCCTCTTTCTTCATCATTAGTTCTTCCAAAGCAACTTGAGACATCTCGAGAGTTTCAATTTTTTCTTCATATGTTGCATAAATTTGTTGTAGCTCGTTCCTCTCTGTCTCACAAGTCAAGAGTTTTGCACAAAGAGCTTGTCGATCATTAGAAATCTTGATGACTTCAATCCTAGCCTCGGAAACCTCCTCATTTAGTTTGACATTCTCACTTTCACATGCTGTGAGTTTCATAGTGAGTTTGTCATTCAATTTGGATAGCTTAAGAGATTCCTTATACAACTTTTCATAAGCTTGCTCAAGCTCTTCATCATCACTTCTCGAGGATTCATCATCAGTGGCATTCTCAACTGGGCTCTTCGGATACTCTGTTCGTCCTTTAGTTTCAGAAGCCACCATGAAAGCAAGGAATTGTTTATGTCCCTCTTCGCCTTGATCTTCATTGTCACTTTCATCTTCATCAGATTCTGATTCATCATCCCAAGTGATGGCGATGGCTTTCTTCTTCCTCAAACGAGTAGGGCATTCCGAAACAAAGTGGCCAAATCCTTGGCATTCATAGCATTGGAGTCTTTCAGAGTTTCCTTGTATCTTTCCTTTCTCCTTCTTGGCTATAGAATTAATTTTGAGTTTATCTTTGCCTTTAGATTTATGAGTATGAGTAGATTCCAAAAGATTAGGATTCTTTTTCAAAAAAGATTTTTTAAATTGTTTAACAAAAGCAGCCGTAATCTTGGAATCTATCTCATAATCCTCATCAGAATCCTCTCTAACTTTATGAGCACTACTAAAAGCAATATCTTTTTGTTTCTTTTTTAAATTCCTATGTGCCTCATAAGTTTGAAGATTTCCAACCAACTGATCCAACTTGAGGTTGTCAACATCTTGAGCCTCCTCAATAGCCGTAACTTTTGGTTGGAACCGATCGGGCAAGTATCTCAAAAATTTTCCCACAACTTTGGATTCTGGTATTTTTTCACCTAAATTGAAGCTGGAATTTACAATGTCACTAAACTTCGCATAAAATTCATCAAATGTCTCACTATCTTTCATTGAAAGGTTTTTGAAACTAGACGTGAGCCTTTGAAGTTTTGAGCGTTTAACAGAAGGAGTGCCCTCATGAATAGTTTGTAAGATATCCCAAGCCTCTTTTGTGACTTCACAATTGCAAATACAACTAAACTCTTTAGGTGTGACAACACAAAAGAGAGAATTGATAGCTTTACTATTCCAGCTATTATTTTGGTAATCAATTGTGTCCCACTTTTCAATTGGTTTGCGGAAAGTTACTCCATCAACGGTAATTGTTGGTTTGGTCCACCCATTCATGACAGATTGCTAAGCTTTTTCATTTATAGATTTCAAAAACGATCTCATCCGAGCTTTCCAAAAAGAATAATTGCATTCGTCAAGTAGGGGTGATCGAACCATAGAATTTCCCTCACGAATTGAATCCATTATCACAAATCAAACAAGATCTCGCTCAAAAGT